TGTTGTTGCTGTTGCTTTAATCGAGCTACTACACCAATAATTCGTTGAGCATATAAGCCAGTTAAAGAGCCATAGAAGATTGAATTTTTATTCCGAAATACATAATTGTTATTCGAATCGAATGTTACTGCCAATGTTACTGCTTGTTAACTGAAAACATTCATTCATCTGACATTCGAGTAGTTTGAACAAGTTTATTTTGGCCGATTATCCAGAGGTCCCTTATTATGCGAAAAACAACTTTTCACAACGAACATTTTGATATTGACTAGAGCAAAACGCAAATGTCAATGCTTCAAATTCTAGGAAAACTTTTCGTGAGCGTTAACAGGAAAATACAATGGAAGTTGGAATATGTAGACTTGGAAAACACTCTTCTACACGCTTCTTTATTTCCGCTGAAATTCGTAAAAGAACGAAAAAGTGCTTGTCGAACCAGTAGAGCTAGAACTCTTAAATTTGATGTACCAAAGAATTTTGGAATTTCGTACTATAGGTGTACGAAAAGTGCTAAAATTTACTACATTTAATACCATTTGGTATTATGTGAACCGATAGAACTACAAACTTGAAATTTGGTGTAAGAATCAAGGTTGGGTAGTAATTTTTATATATGAAAGAGGTTTGGAAATGTGTATTACATGTGCGAACTGCACAAAATGGTACTAAATTTGAAATACTTATGTTTAATGTGAACGGATGAAGCTGAAATTTTGTACTGGGGTCCCTGTTTTTGGTAAAATAGTGGGTTAAAAAAGTGTACTATATTTGTTACAATTTGGTATTAGGGGAACATATAGGGTTTGAAATCTGAAATTTGGTTTAGGGTCGCTGTTCATGTGTAGCCTGTACATGTGGAGGTTGTTTCGAAAATGTGCACTTAAATCGTAGTATTGGTATTGGTTTGCATTATAAGGCTGGAATCCTCAAATTTAATATTGAGCTCTCCGTTGGTATCTGGAATTGAGATATGGAGGTGGTTTTGGAAATGTATTCTATACTTAAACGGAAAGTTCTACACTTGGTATTGGATAATGGAATAGAGATAAAATCCTGAAATTGGATATTTATATAACTGTAGGTATCTGAGGTTGACATATGGGGACTTTTACTATACGAAAATAACCAAAATAACCAAAATAACCAAAATAACCGAAAATAACCACTAAAATTAGCATTGTGTGAAGAGATGAATCTGAAATCCTTATATTTGATATGGATATTACTGTTGGTGTCTATTTTGAAGTAGGTGGAATTAGAAATTCGTACTACAATTGTTCGAAAAGTACTACATGGTACTAATTTTGGATCACTGTTGGTGTCTGGGATGGGGAAATTTATATTGTTTTGGATATAGAACAGGCATGTTTGTTCGGGATACCGTAGTATTTTGTTGTTGCAAAATAGTTAGGCTTAATCCTATTATTGTTGTTTTTATAAAAAATTAATTTTAATTTTTTGTTAAAACAAAAGATGTTTTTGTCATAGGAGTTATCTTAAAATAAATTCTGGGGAGAATATGCCAGACAAAAATCAAGGTAACTGAGGAGGATTATTGGCTCTTTCCGAAACCTAGGTATTTCCTGCCTTACCACCTGGTAAACATTACAATCTTCCTCAACTAATAAATAAACGTTGTTTTTTTATAAAAACAACAATAATGTGATTAAGCCTAACTTATTTCGGATATGCGTACTTAATGTTACTAAATTGTGTATTTTGTAAAGGGATCCCGAAATTTGATTTTAAGGTGTATGCTAGTAACTAAAATTGAGGTGGTTTTGGAAAAGCGTATAACAACTATTCGAAAAGTACTAAGTTGAACTAAAACTGCTATTGGGCGAAGGGCTAGAGCTAAAACCGTGAAATTTTATACTACGATAACCGTTGGTGTCTAGTATTGAGATACGGTTTTGAAAATGAGTACTACAATTGTACGAAAAGTACTAAATGATATCCAATTAGGTATTGGGTGAAAGTATTGAGCTGGAATCCCGAAATTTGAAATTGAAATCTTTATTGTTATATGGTTTTGAGATCTCGTGGTTGGTTTTCCAATGCGTTCCTTTGTTCGAAAAGTACTAAATAGTACAATGTTTGGATCACTGTTGGAAATGATACTAAATTTTGCATTGGGTGAAGGGATAGAGCTGAAATTTAATATTGAAGCCAATGCTGCTTGGGTCTACATATGGAAACATTGAAATAGTTTCGTGCAGAAAAATTGGATTTTAGTCCATCCTGCAATGGTTTTACTAAAAACCTCCTCGGTTAACTTCAAAATAAACAATTCTTGGTGTGAAAGACAAACATGATTATTAGTTGCACATTTTGTGTACTACAAAGGTCTAATACGAACAGTTAGAACAAATATAACATTTTAATGTGGACTTTTCGCTGTGGAGGTACCGGACCATTAGCATATATATAAATTCTATATGTATAAAAGAGGAAAACGTTTGTAGGTTTGTTTGTTTGAAATATGTATATATACTCAACAAACGCTAAACAAATTTTCGTTAAAATTTCCATATATTACAGCATTGCCTAAAAGTTACAAAGGCTATTCAAATTTTTGAAATTCCACAAAAATCGGAGGTACCTCAAAAAATGTAGATTTTGAACGCACGTATCTATTGATCAGTTACAGATACAGTCATCAAATTTAGAATGTGTAACGGAATTTGTTACAAAAATATTTTGGTCAAAATATGTTAAAAACGGTTCAGATTCGCATATAGCTCCCATATATATTTTCATCCGATTTCATGTATTTGATGCAGCAAACAAGCTAAACTAAATTTGGTACCAAAATAAATTTAGCAAATTATATTAAAATCGGCTGAGGTTTGGATATAGCTCCCCTATATATATATATATATATATATATATATATATATATATATATATTTATATTTATTTTATTTATATATTTATATATATATATATATATATATATATATATATATATATATATATATATATATTTATATATTTATATATATTTATATATATATATATATATATATATATATATATATATATATATATATATATATATATATATATATATATATATATTCTCGGCCGATTACACATATTTTATGCACCAAACATGATATGCATGCCAAATTCCAATGAAATTTGATATAGCAAACATATATAATTCCGGCCGATTTTATGCATTTGATGCCTCAAACACGCTGTGTATGTCAAATTTCAATGAATTTTGGAATGTGTGATGGAATTTTGTCTAAATTAATATTGAAATCGGTTTAGGATATAGCTCCCGCATATATTTTCGGCCGATTTCACAAATACACTAAACACGCTATGGATGTCAGATTACAATGAAATTTGGAATGAGTGGCGGAATTTGGTAAAAAATTAAATGTATATTGAATCGGTACGATTTCACGTATTTGATGCACCAAACACGCTGTATATTTCCAATTTCAATGAAATATATGACGGAATTTTGCATACAAATGAATTTTTCAAATTGTATTGAATAGGTTAAGATTTGGATATTGCTTCTATATATTTTACGACCGATTTCGAGTATTTTATGAACCAAATACGCTATGTATATCAAATTTCAATAAGGATTGGAATGAATAACGGAATTTGGTCCAAACATAAATTTGGCACTGAGACCGGTTCAGATTCGGATATAATTTTATTAAGGAACATAGACCCACCACTTCTTTGCAATGGTACTAGGCAATTCGTAAAAAATGCACAATAATTAAACTGAAGTCACGATTACTACGGGAAAGTATGTAGGTTCAGTGGTACTGCTAACTCGAATCCCTCTAATAACAACAGAAATGACGTTCAACTTTAAAAATTACAGTTTGCAGTACGCCAAATGCCATAATATATTCGTATATTAAATTTTGAAGGCATTTTAAAATTTTTGAATTTAAAAGACGTAGCGAAGCGCACTGGGTCCACCTAGTGTTCTTATAGAGTCTGATGTATGTTGATGAAGTGACCTTTCATTGGTATTAATACTTATTATGTAGTCAATGAAGGCTAAGAGAGCCTTACTGAGTTGTATATATTTGATTTCCCTGAGAGAGCATCCGAACCGAGACCACAACTTAATTTACACATACAATTTTTTTCGCATCGCAAAACCGAAAAAATGCTATTTGCATTAATGTGTATAATTTTAACTTTGAAGATTCAACATCTTCCATTTACGATACCTTCAGTGACACGATATTCCATTTACCAGGATGTAGGGTATTCAAATGAAAACTTTCCTACATTTGTGCTCTCGTGCAAACATTTCCATGGACAAATTGTGTAGGAGTTTGCACCCACAAAATGGTCGGAGCTTGAGGCAAACATATTCGATTTAAAGTAGATAACTCAAACTGTTTTTGGATGTTATCCTTAAACGAATACCCTTTAGAAAACACACACACATCCACATAGATTTTCTAAAGTAGTATTTTACTATCCGTTTTTTTTTTATTCGTACAGACATTTTATATTTAAATTGAATTTCAACACATAGAAGTTGAAGAACAGAATGGTTGAAAAACCTAATTTTTTTGGAAAAAGTTTTCTTTCCCATTGGGAATACAATTTGATTTTACATCATTCAATTCAGCAGAGCAGAGTATCCTCCAAACAAACAAACAAACAAATGACACTCACACACTTACATGACCATGACGATTTTCATTTGGGTAGGTAGAAATAAATTAAAAAAAGAAAAAAAATATGACTTCTTTCGCTGGTTTAGAAATTAGGGAATCACGGTAAACCCAAATCAAAGCAATTGAAGATATACATTTTTGCATTTGCTTTAATGTGTCTTTAATCAAATAGCAATAGACACAACTTTTCTCAGTAATGTAACCAATTGTAAAGTCGAGACATCAACAAAAATGATTTTCTGTCAATAATCGCAAAATATACAATGTCTTAGAACTCCGTATTTTTAGATTGAAACATTAATGCAACTTATGACAAAAGAAATGGACTTAGCTCTTGATACTCAGTTTATATTTTCCATGTTTTTTTTTTTAGTTACAATTTAAAGAAAATCAAATAGTCCACTATCGATTTCTACCGGTGGAAAATCTGTAATGTTTCCGAAATTCCACCATTGCCTCAAAATGTTGCGTATCAAAAACAGGCGTGTGGTGGTAAATTCAAAAAAGTGGAAAAACAAAGCACCTAGAATGACAATCCTTACTAATCACGCTAGATAACCGAAGGAAAAAGTTCACAGGACTTACTTGATGTCATCAGTGTGCAGGAAGCCACCATGATTTCTGCAAAGGTCAAACGTTCGTTGGGACTCTGGTTAATTGTCTCCATGCAGAAGAGAACTTGTTGCAACACAACATGACCAAGGGGTAGCAGCGAAAAGCTAAACAACAAATTCCTCACAATGGGTATGGCACACTGCTTGCAGAAGTTGGCCAACTTTTGTTGCCAGCTTAACTTCTCCACGGGTATTATGAAAGAAGCATTACAAATCTCGCAGTGAATGTTTCTTCGATGCATAATCCAGCGTTTAAGGCATTGCAAATGAATATGACCCTAAATTCTGATGTATAGTTAGTCATGAAATGTGAAATAATTACTTCCTGGCTTACAACTGTGCCCCGGCAGAGGCAAGGACTTTCCATTATATCCAAATCACTACGATTCCAGCGACATATGCGACAAGAGTTTCCATTTTCATCGAGAGACATTAACGTTTCAATGGATTTCTGTAGCGACATGGTATCTTCGTCTTCTCGGCGAGCGGTTATGATTGGTCGCATCACCATGTTTTCGTCGTTAACGGCCACGCTGTTGTATAGACGAATTGCACTGGTCACAGAGAGTCCAGAAGGGGCGGGTTGATTATCAGTCATGGCTTCGTAGCATTGCCTGACCTTTTTGGTTTACATAAGAATAGAGGTTTATTGAGAATTTTGATTCTAATATTTGCAGATATTTTTAGATATTAACATTTTTAATTTAAAAAATTGAAGCTAAAAATTTTGAAACTTATTGAAAAGAAATTTTTTTTTTTTTTTTTTGAACAAAAAATTTTAGCAAGTAAAAATTTGGTTAGCATTTTTTTGTTCCAATTCACATTAAAAAAGTAGCAGCCGAGAAAAGTCAGTTTTTAAGAGATAATCTTGGAATAATAGCTGAAATTGTTATAAAGATTTCTATATCGGGGCTCCTACGTGAAATGAACATATTTATAGGGGTTATTTATGTACAATTGTAATTTCTTTAAAAATAACATGTTTTGATTACCTTTCTTTGGTATACGACCCTAAGCGTTGTCAAAAGATAACAAACTTACTAATTTCTATTATACGATATTTATGAGTTTTCAAATCAGAAGCATTCAAAATCAAATATAAAATTTCTAAAGGACATCCATATTCCAAGTTTTGAGAAGCATAGGTACTCCCATGACACAAGCATAATGTAGAGGATACAAGCAACATGGCATCTTTATATGTCCTAGTTATTTAAAATTAGGCGGCAAATTTATTTTTTTTAACGACTTGTAACTTTCTCCTTTTAACCTCCTACGTAACTTTTTTTAATCGGAAAACAAACTTGTTGGGTGTTTTTATGTAAATTCGAAATACCGAATATAGGATGCAATACGAATACGGGGTCTTGTATATCTCATTTTCCAAACAAACCATTATAGACATAATGCAATCTAGTCTTCCAGTTTTCAAAACTCTACGTCAAATAATATTGACTGTCATTAAATCGACCTGAAATTTTATGCTGATCATGATTATATATATTTTGTGGGGTCTACGACGAAAATTTAGAGGTTTTACAAACAGAATTACACCAAAGAAAATTTATCTATATTTCTATAATATGACACTAAAACATTCTCATCAATGTTTCTAAGTGCGAAAAATATTCACATTTTTTATACCCTTCAGCTGAAATTGTTGTCATTCCGTGTGTAACACCTCGAAATATACATTTTAGACCCACAAAGTGTATATGTTCTTGATCAGCATAAAATTCAATGTCGACTCACTCAGATGTGCAGGACACTCGGTATGGGTCCACGTTTTGGTTTTGCCCCTATATAACTGTACCGGCTGGCTATGCAGGTCCAGGTTTTCGTATAGCCCCCACATAAAGGTACCTCCCTATATATGGTATTTTGATGATTTTAGTGACATTTTTTAACGGAATCGGTTCAAGTTTTGGTTGGGCTGCATATAAATGTCAACGTCTTCGTAGAACCTTCAATATAACGGTAACTCTCTGTATTCAGTATTTTTTTTTTTTTTTTTTTTTTTTTTTTGAAAATGTTGCAAATTACTTCTTATTTTCTAGAAGAGGGTATTCAAAGTACTCCCCGGCCGAACCTACTACTTTTTCACTTTTTTTTATTAGTTTTTCTTCGAGAGCCGAAAAATTTGTTTTGGATTTTCGATCTACAAGCCAAGTACTCAAATCCGGCAGAGAAATAGTGCTAAAATTAGCGAAAATTAAAAAAAAAATAATTAAAATTGCCAATTTTTTTATTTAACATATAAAGTATACAAATTCGTCATATTCGGATATTCACAATGAACTAGCTGGTTATGGTCTTCTGTGCTTATTTTTATAAACAGAATAATTCACAGATCTGGCTCATACAAGTGGCATAATTTTTATTATAAATAATGACTTGTCTCGAAAAAGCTCTTGAAATACGTAAAATCAGGAGGCACATTTATAAGGGCGCTTTTTCGAATTTTTTCCAAAAAATGTTCTGCGAAGATGTTTTCTACTCCTTTAGAAGCCAAATAAGTCAATTGAAAAATGGGGCTATCGTAGACCGACATGACCCATATTTTGTGACGAGATCGTAAGCTCATAGAAGAGGAACCAAAGAATTAAATAAATTAAAAATCTTACAACCGCACTTATAAACATTTACATCTTTAGAGAAAACTATTGTAGGCTATTTGTGTCCAGGTCCCAACCCTCAGACCTTAATTAGAATTTTATGATAATTAAAATAAAATTGGATATAATATCTATAGATTTCAAGATATTTTAATCTGAAACTTTCCAAAAATATGGAAGAAGGGCGAACTTGGTAAATCGAAAAATATTATTAAATTGTTTGAACACCAAGTACTTTCTCAAATGAAATTCGATTTAATTATACAAAGCACGATTATTTTCTTTTTTTTTTTTTTTTTTGCCATGATATTACCAATATCCTAAGAAATGCTAAATGCTTGGGTGTGTTACGTTCCAGGAAATGTTTGTGTGGTTGGTAAACAAATGAATTTCGAAATTCAATCACAATAATATGAGTTTGTTTTCATGTATCTCCACTCAGTTCTTGTATTACGATCTTCGGCCGGGAGTGTGGGTGTATATGGCGTTACATATTCATGTATATATCGAAATGTGTGTATGTGTTAATGTATCCGTAAAGCGGCTAGAATAACAGTCAGCTACGGAAAGGATATCCAAGAAAGCAAACAAATAAAATGTTACTTTCTTTTGCACAAACATTTCGCCAATCGCATACACACACACAGATGTATTTATGTTACTCCATAGACATCAATGAGCACTCAATGAAGCAAACCTATTACTTGTGTATGTATGTGTGTGTGTGTATGTCACAAACGTGTACTGGGTTTATTCAATGATTTCTATTAGACATTGTTGTTTCATTTTCTGCTTCTGTTTTTACTTCAGTTGTTATTACTGCCATTGTTGCTGTTTGAAATAGAATTCGATTACTTATTTTGGATATGAGACAGTCCAGGAACATTTACCGCAATAATCTCTTAAGGTATTGCCAAGTAAGTCGTCGAGTATTACACCAAGAGGGTCATTCCTGAATCTAAGACAACCCGAACATTTATTTTTGCATAAAATCTTTTCCTCCTTCTCAACAATCAAAACCTTTTTCAAAACCAAAACATGGACTACACTCAATCTGGATGGGAGATTTCCAATTAAATCCCATTGGTTTACAAATATTACTTAGCTAAAAAATAGCCACATTCTGCTATTCTTGATTATGTCATATATAATGCCTCATATACAAAGTAATCAACACATAATCTCCGAAAATACATTTGATTTGAATCTCATATTTGTGGCCGAATCGGAACAATTGTCGATTGGGCGGTATGGCATGCAAAGGCAGATACAATAAATACTTGAAAGTGTTTATTGATATAATCGCACGTATTTAGATAAAAACATGTTTCTTTGCGCCCCATTTACATATGCAAAAATATAAAATATACTTACAAGAACTCGGCAACGACTCCATTCTACGCCGAAATTAAATGAAAACGCATATCGGAGGCGAGAAGCGTATGCCGTTGTCTTGTCGATGAAATCTTATTGGAATTTTCCCAATTGTTTGTGATGTGTATGTGCTGTTTTTACAACTGTTTGTGGGTGTGTGCGTGTCGACGTTTTTCAAGGTATCCTTGGTTTTGAAATTGTTTTCTATGATTGGCCTAGACAAGCAAAGTCACAACATGATGTAAATTAAATGTTAAAGACATTTGATTTGCAGTAAAATGTTGTTTCGTGATTCAATATAGATTCGAAGAGAAAATATGTGATTCACATTGATATGAGATTTGTAAAAACACAAAGTGTGGGAGACAACGTGTTGGAAATATGATGAATATGTGTCTGTTCTAATGATTAAGGAAAGAATATAAAACTGGAATCGACATAGATAATCACATGGTACCTCGAGTACAAGGTGTATTACAAAATATATATTTGTAGATAGAAGACGAGGGAGAAGCTTTAATTTTTGCATTTATTTAGATTTTTCTTGATTCTATAGTACTCGATCTTGTCAAATTGTTTTTTAAATAAAAATGTTATCCAAACCTTATTTTTGGAAACTAGCCAAAAGGCTAGTCTAGAGTCAATGTAAATGTTGTTATTGTTTTTAACGCATACTTCCAAGCGCTCTAATAAATTTTAGACTTACAAGAATCGCTAAAATATAAAAACATTGTAATACACAACACTATATAATATACTATGTTTACATTATTGGTATACTGTAAAGTTTAAGTCTAAAAATTCAGAAGAGCGTCCAAAGTTATGATTTAAAAATGCTATAGATATAGGTGGAGAAGTATTTTTAGGTATGTCTCTAGCATAATGCAAAATCTGACCTTAACCAAAATGAGAAGGTATTATCATAGACAAATTAAAGTATAGACTAAAAAGTTGTCTCATCTGTTATCTTCGAAAAAAGTGCTTCAATAGATGTCGTTCATGCTGTGAGAGAGCAAAAGTCTATTCACTCAATTCTCTCAAAATACAAAATATTGAATATTTTTATGATTCTTTATTATTTATCAATTAAAAACGAAACAGTGACTTTGTTTATTTTTACATTATCCAAATATGACGTGAAATATAAAAATATAGAACTTAAATAGCAGAAAAATGAATAAATTGTTTTCGAAGTCGAGTGACTTCACTAGCCCTGAGTGACTTGACTGGCCCAAGATCAACAATAGTGACATCTGCCGGAAGGGGTAAATTTTAAAACTTTTTAGTCTATACCTTAATTTGTCTATGGTATTATCAAAAGTTAGTTGTGGGAAGAGTAAGAGATCTGAGCGTATGTATTTTGGTAGTATTTGGTAGTACACCAGCGGTGCTCAAAACCGTGTTCTAGAACATGAACAGAAAAAAGAGATAATTTAAGAGAAAATTAAAATTATGTTTTTCTTTATATTTTACGGTTCTATTTAATTGTTTTTAAACACGAATGTTTGCCAAAATAATTTATAAAGCAAATGGATAAAGAATATTTGTATAAATAATGACTTAACACTGTTTTGTTCTTGATTTAAATAAGCAAAGAGAAATTTGACTGAAAAGAGATATTCCTTCTTGAGCACCACTGCATACACATACAAACATAGGAAACACTCTCTTCTTGAAGAGAAATTGTCTCTTTATCTCCCTGCATGAATGCTCTTTATGCTTCCTT